ATGTAAAAAGCTACAATCCTCACAAACCTCATGTTTTTCTCCATTCATTATCCATTCGTTTACCAAACAAGTATCTGCATCATACGTCCATGTTCACGGAAAAGGAAATCCTAATGAATAATAAGGAAGCGGCAAATCCACCTCACAAGACACAATGTTTGCAAAGAACAGATTACGAAGTGAAGTGACGATTTTGCCGTGTTCGAGTAGGAAGGACGGCACAGACAAAGCTCATTACTGTGCAGCAACTGCAATACGCTTTGGTAAGTTCTTCCAGATTTTAATAACACCTAAAATGAAGCCCCGAACAAGCACCTTCCGGACTAAACAATATCGATGTCTTAAGCCATAAGTACGAGTAAACATGGAATCTGACAGAAATCAAAGGGATCTAAGATTAGCCGTAGATTAGCTTGTAAGCAATAAGCGGCCATTAATCTTCCTTACTCAAGGAAGTGTAACACCAGAAAAAGAAGACCTTTCCTGTCTGCCTTTCTTTAGGCAGTATCAGATTCGTTAGTGGCTTTTTTTTGCAACCTTTTTCAAAGGTTTTCCGCGTAAGTGGAACCACATTTGGATGGGCGCACACGTACAAAAGCAGCAAAATGACGTGGAAAATCTCGAAAAAAATTTGGTATTTTTGATGCTTTTCCTGCAATGCAAACGTGGGCAATGAATGAAACTGAGATACTCGCAAGTTATAAAACCCTACTGAAGATTTCTCTGACTTTGTTTTAAAATGTGACCATCGATTCCAAACCAGGGATACAGCTGCCGCAAGCCATCAACTGGAAAATTTCGCACCCGGCAGAAAATTTTAACTGAACCTAGGCACAAAGAGAATTCAAAAAATCAAAGCGCTTTCATGTTCAAGCCGATTTAAGCTTCAAGGTTGAAGGCCAAAATAATGTGAACCGCGGAGACCAACTTCAGGCTATTCGACGTGCATTATTTGATGAATTAGATCTTTAAAATTTTATATTTGTAGCCTTGTTCGTTCTGAAATTATGAACTCGGTTCAAGTTGAAAGTGAACAAACTTATAAATTCGGTCTCCCTTATCTTCTCCCCGAGGAACAAAAGATAAAAAAAAAAAGATTTAATTAATTAGAAACTGCAAGTTAGAAAAAAAACCAGTCTTCGAAGTGAATGTATCCTGACCTGCGACAAAAATCGGAAATTCCGGCTATTTTAATAAGTTCAAAACAAACGCAACATAAATAATCCAAAATTAACTTCAGACCTTCGCTTTCGACCCTAACTGAGTGCATGGGCAACTACAAGTTTATAGTCTAAGAACAGGGTAAGAAAATACTACACTCCTCACAGCGCTCAACAAAATGAACTGTTGCATGAGCTAGCGCCTTCACCCACTGTGTCGTTGCAATAGCTGATCACAAAAGTGCACTTCCGTAGCGTCTGTCTAGATCAATTCGCCACTTCTTTGAAGCCAGGCCGAATATTTGGTGCATAAAAAATCAACGGTGGAGCGCACTAGGGATGTTGATGCGGTCCTACGCTTTGGCAAGGTACCATCATGCAAAATGATCGCCTGCACCGGTATGTAACTGCGGTGTTGCAGTTTGAACATTTCACGTGCCTGCACGCAGAGCACATGCCTAAGCTCTTTTATACTTGCTGGTTCGCACATGAAGAGCAAAACATCTCAGAAAAATACTGCTTCCTGTTCGCTTTAATGCTGGTTGCCGTATTGAGTGCTGCCAGTGTCTCAAACTAAAGTTTCGTTTGAGTGCATGCGAGATCTAAGCGTGCTTTAAAACTGTATTTGAAGTATTTCGCTCGCATAAGCGTATAGAATATCCTTCATCTTCCTAAATTAACTGGCTGGTGAAATCGCATTTCGTTATGTCTTTGACGTGTTCGAATAACATGCCACACAAGCGCACGTCAAATTTTATTTTTTGTTTACATATTGCTATGGACAACAAATATTCCTCTGAAGTCAGTGACTCCCAGATTTTGCCAAGACTGTCTGAACTTCAATTTTGACTTGCCCGTACGCGTGGTGTAGGCGTGTGTGATCACTGAATTTAAAGTCTTTTGCTCACTTATGAACAGGAATATCCACACGAAGTTTCAGCTACCTATCCTGCCTTCTTTTCAGTTTTTTCCTGTCAAAAAATTCACATAATTTTAGGCATCCGTACGTGACACTCAAAAGCGTTTGAACCTTGATTTCAAGTCGTCTGGATCGTACACCGGCTAGAAACATTCCTTGAAATTCCAGCTTCCTAACTTCTGCGATTGCTGAGTTGAATGTATGTGACAAAAAAATGCAATCACACATACCCGCACATTGACAACCTCTCGGCATTATACGCTTTTGCATTTGCAGAAAGATGCAAAACGCGTAACAACTGATTCGTCGAACAGCAGGCAGCACTTCCACACGTTTCCATGTAACAGCAGCGCATCGTCTACAAACACAACAAAATCCCAGTGCATCCAGTACATTATCAAGTTTGAGTAACACTACAGGTCTCTTAAACAGAAAGCTTATTTCGAATGAATTCATGATGTTTCGGGTAGCAGCGTAAAATTACGGGCGGCTAACTGATGACTGTTCGATTACTCCTTTGTTCGAACAACGTCTAAACAAAATCTGCCTCCCAAAATCCGTGAAACTAGTGAATAATCCTCGACCGGTGTGTTAATTCTTGAAAGACAAACGGAAAAGCATTAGTGCGTCTCACTCTCAATTCTCAAGAGTAAAATAGTGATGTTATACGCTTGAAGGAGTAGCGCAAGTCAAAGCTCCCTATCCGCAGGAAGCGCATAATTATTTCCAAGTTGTTTTCCAAAAAAAATTCGTAATGTTCTTTAACATTTCTGTTTCTGTATTTGATATAGAAGTAATTTTGATCTCAAAATTGCTAAGCAAAATGTTTTTCGATATACTCCTTCAAAACAGCCATAAAAGTGCAACCCCTTCCACACTTATATTCAAATTCCCCTAAAGTTTTCATCTTTTTTGAAAAATCCTGGCTACGACAATGCACTTTTGTTTCACATCGATTTTACCTTACTTTAATCCAACTTTCAAAGCTCATTTGAAGCAGGAACATATGCCAGTGCAAATATTTTTCGATTTAGATAACTCAGCCCCAATTCGCAAAATTTGTTCTAGAGGCCGTTGTAAATAACTCCCAGTAACGTGCTAAAATCAATTTTCAAATCTTTTTGTTCCTTCACATATGATTTCAGGCCAAAGTATACCCAAGCTTTATAAAATGAGAGTGAAAGATTAGAAGCTAGAAGAATCCGACAGCAAAAGTGCAGTGAAAAGCGTGAACCAAGTTTTCAGTCCTTATTATATATACTGACCTATAAATCAATGTTGCCAGTTCAGGATATTTGTTTTCAGAGTGGCATGCATTACGAAGTCGAAAACTGGGATTGCTTTCCTTTACACAATGCGGCAGGAAAGTCCAAAAGCTGCTTTCAACAAAAACTATGATCTCACGCCAAGGTACAAGCTAACTGCACACAACAGCTCAAATCGTTTACTCGCAGTTCTGACGATTTACGAATGCAAAGTAGGTTATAGTGCACGTACATACTATCAGAGCCTACAAAAGCTTGGAATCTGCTCAGTATTCGGGATACCCTGAACGGCCATCAATTTACAGTACGTTCCTCCATTTATGCACCTGATAGCTTTTCCAGTTTCTTTAACTAGTTTATTATCGCATGGTAATCAATCTGCTGGCAATCCTGACGTTTGTTTCGCTCCTGAAAGGATTACCAACTTAACATTCCTTCCGACAGAAGCGCTTAGCAAGCTTCAGCTATTACGAAATATTTTTGGTGTTTGTTGGATAGCACCACCACCTGGTCCCGAACGTTGTAGCTTCTAGACCTACGACTGCGCACAGTGGTATTCATCCACAAAAACAAAAGCAAAAAATTTCGAGAAGTGCCGAGCATCAGTGAGCCAAAATGAGTGCGAGGAGGAAGAAGTGCTGCTGCCGCTCGCAAGATGCAATTTGAAAATGAAGGACGAACTGTTCTATTTCCCCGTTCCCCTCTCCCGCCCCACCACACCCTCTCTACAGCCGCTGTTGTTTGAACCTGTTTGCCTACCTACAAGCGACCGAGAGCGAACGGTGAAATTCGGCACAAAACAAAAAATCTTTTCAAGCAGAGCAGTTACTGCTTCTGCACAGAGTAGAGAAGAACTCAAGCTGTTTCATCTACACGACTTTTACAGATAGAGGATAAGAGCATCTGCCCTCAGTTTTATCATTTTCATCTTGTAAGTGTGACAGTGCCGGATCCAGGTAGAGACGCACCAGACTTGCCGTTGTAATCATGCGTTTTTGCGCTAAACTTGTGACAGTAAAGATGCCAACAGTATTAATGACTTCTGCTTTACATTTTAACAGGCGGGCTCAATTTGGCTATGTTGTAGCCCTTTTCCAGCATGCAGACGAAAAAGACGTCACCTGAAACGACAGTTTTGCACCTTGGGCCGCGTAAAGTCCCAGCGTCTACAATTATCAGTTTTCCATGAAGAGAAATGAATAGTTTAAGGTGATAGATAGTCCACAGAAAATGCAGATTTGATGATGAATAGTATGCCTGGGAAACAGGATGAAGGAATTCATAAAATAAACTTGCTTTTGAGGGTGCGATAAAGTTGAATGCTTGTCATGCCCATACGCAAGAAATTTAGCCTTCAGGCTGAATTTGGGCCACACTTGAATATAGAATATTTCTGTAAAATTTCAGCTTCACAGCTTGTCCGACAAGCGAAATTGCCACTTCGCTACAAATAAGTTTGACATGACCAAAGGCGCAGCGCATGCGAAAACCGAAACTCGATTTAGGTATATGATTTTCCAAACAGAAGATATTCTAGCAAAATTACAGTTTTTTTTCGCTAGTTTTTGAGTTTGTCCGGTGTCAAATTGTAAAACTTGGCGTGACCATAGGCGTGGCACAAGCAAACGCAATAGCTGAATTAAAATTTTTAGTAAATGCATAAGCAGAGAATGTCCCTGAAAAGTTCCAGCTTCCTGCTTTCACAGATTCCCGAAATCATTCCCCCGCCAAGAAATTTACATATTTATAAGGTTCATACCTGAGGTCTAGGCGCAGATGAGTTTGATTTTAAAACGGAAGAGTGAGATATGGAGTGGGAATATACTCCCGAAATTTCAATCTCCTATTTTTCCCTGTTGCTAAGTTAAAAGTGGGCGACAAATTTCACTTGTTTCTCCAAACACACACACAATCTCTCGACAATATGCGTTTTTGTTGTGCAGTGAACAAAAATGCATACTGTCGAGAATCTCGCGATGTATTCATATAAGCGAGTGAACTTTGTCACCCACTTTCAACTCAGCAAGCAGGAAAGCTGGGAGGCTGAAATTTGGCAAGCGTGTTGCCAGTGTGTATGTTGTTCTCACAACCTCAAATCGTCATACACGTATGTCTGGATCTCACATACGAACGCCCAAAAAATACGTGAATATTCTGGCAGGAAAACGATTTCGAAAACCAGGCAAGCTAGAAAGTTGAAATTTCACACTGATGTTCCCTGTTGATATGTGAGCTAAAGAGTTCAAATTAAGCTATGTGCTAACTCGATAACTAGCAGGAAAACAGTGGCTGAAAATCTGTCAGAGTATTTGTCGTCCATCTGGGAAATCGTATGCCTAAAAGAAATTTCGATTTGTATTTGCGCCATAATTTGAGGCACTTCAAGGGTATTTGTAGCGAAGTGGCTATTTCGCTTACCAGGCAAGTTGCGAGGTCGAAAATTTGCAAGGATATTCTATATTCATGTATGACCTAAACTCAGCTTTGAGGCTAAGTTCCCTGCACGAGGACATGAGAAATACTCAGTTTTATCGCAAACTCAAAAGCGAGTGCATTTTGAAGATTTGGTAATCCCCTTTTGTTTCTCTGCAAATTTGCACTTTTTCAATGAACGAGCACTTACAGAGAAAACGACCGAACTTCATGCAAAAAATTGATAATCACGCATCTTGGAGATCCACGCGTTCCCGTAATGCAACATCCTCATCCCAGCCAACACCTTTTCCTCCTGCATGTGAAAAGAGGCCAGAAGACAGCCAATACGAGTCCATGTGTTGCTTGCCTTGGCAACTGCCGGTAGAAGTTGCATACCAATAAGGGGTACCTGGTAGGACGAAAACCATTCGAGTGATTTTTGAAGTGGCGCGCGTACTTATTGCAGGGAATGGATAATAACTGAAAACACGTAGCCCCGAATAAACTGTCCTGACAGCTGACAGCAGCATAGAGGTGCACTCCACCACTGGTAACATAAAATTTCCCACACCGGCTGATCGGCATACGCTCCCATGTCTAACAATAAATAATTATAAAGCAAAACAATATAATGAGTATTAACACTGAATATCACTAAAAAAATATAAATAACAGATAGGGATAGAGGCCTTCTGAGCTGATATCAACACAAGCAAGTAGTTCCAAGAAAGTATTAATGAATATTGATTATCAGTGAATGCAATATAAAATGCGGCAAAATTAGCTGTTAGGGCAAAAAAGTTCCGACTAATAAACAGCAGTTATATTTTAATGTTGGAACCTCAGTTAACTGTTCTCGGTTTTAAAAACAACGCAGAACTCCCATCTTTG